GCCCCCGATGAGCAGCCCCCTCTGCCCCCGTCCCTCTGCCCCTCGCCCAGGGTCACCCCCCCGGCGCGCTCCCTTCGGCCGGAGCTCCGCCGCGGCGCTGGGGACCCTCGCTGGGCCTCCGAGGGAGAATCGCTCCCCGCGTCGAGCTGCGGGGCCGAAAACAACCGCGCGCGGCTCCTGCGCTCCCCCCGCCCCCGCGAGGAAAGGCGACCCAGGCTAAAGCAGGGGTCAGCACGAGCAGCCCCTGGAGGAAGCGGGACAGGGTCCGTTTCCTAGGACCACCTCTCCCATCATCCTTAGCCGGTACATTGCTGTTGTCCAGGCTGCTAGGAACTATGGGAGAAGCAGCCCCGGCAGGTCTGGAAGGTGCCAGATCGAGGGAGGGTGTAAATATGCCCTGCTGGGGGCTCGGCCGTCTGCAACTGAGCAGGGAAGAGAGCGGTTTTGAAAGGGGCCCCCATCAAGGAGCCCCGTTGCCTGCTTGGAAAGGGGAAGGAGGGTTATTGCCGAAAGAAATGCGCCAGCTGAAGAAAGCAACCCTCTAGCCAAAATAGGGCACCGGGCACAAAGGCTGCAAGCATTGTGGACTTGCTGTGAATTGTACGGGAATTGCAAGGACGCAGTAGCATCTCTATTTTAATCTGCAAAATAGAGCCAGGTACGCAGGCAGCCCCCAGCCGGCCCCCCCCGCCCCCCACCCCGCGTTCTGAATTGTTGAAGGCACAGGTTTCATCCTGAGGGGCATGCCTGCCATGCCATGTATTGATCTCCCACAACTCACGGGGTTAGGAAGGAAGATCTGAGGGTGTTTTGTGCATCCATTACGACATTCCAAAAGAAAGCTCGGGAATAGGACCTCTGCGAGAGCGTGCTTGCCATTAAGAGATCCCAGAGCCCCTTTATGGAACATAATTCTCCATGAGACCTCCATTTCGGTGGGGGAGTGCATGGGATCGGAGGAGGGCAGGATCTCCAGAAGAGTCTGGATGTAGAAAGGGCAATTGCGTGAATGCATCCACATTGGGAAATGCAGCCGGATGGCTGTAGCGAAGAGACGGCAAATGGTGTGGCTCTCTTGAAACGGAACGTGTCGGAGTATTTCTTAGAGGAAGCCTGCAGGAAGAAGCTTTCTGGATGTTGGTGTGTGTTCGGCACTCGGTCATCTTAGGTGTGGAGTCCTGATGTTGAACTTACGGTTATTCCCATCAGAATGTTCCGGGAAAACGCATGTTTGATAAACTGCCCAGCAGACCTGGGCTTGGCACTGTAGTGGACCTGACCAGGACCCCTATATGAATGTACTCAGAAATTATACCTTCAGTTCAGGGGGGCTTCCTTCCAGGTCGATGGGTAGGACGGTGCAGCTTTGGACAGCTCACCCTCAACAAGAGTGATGGCCTTTCGGTAAAACGGGTCCTTCTGGCTGGTTCCCTCCCCCGAGTAAGCTAAAGGCACTTCGTTTTGTATTGGGTTAATGCAATGTGCTAGCCAAGCTTTCAGCCATAAAGTTGGTCATGGTTTATGGCCTAATTTATGATATGAACCCAGCTAATTATGGCTTAGTCAATAAACCATAATTAATCAAGCTGTGGCTTAACCCAGTGCGTAAACAGTTTTATGATTTGAGTTCAGGAGTAAGACTCACTCTAGTTTCTTAAGCGTTCCATCAGGAATGACCAGGAGGTCATCCTCAAGGGAAGCCTGGTCTTATACGCTTAAATCTTTCGGTGTTCTCCATTGCTTGAGAGTTGCTCCCTTTGCAGTCCTTAAACTTGTCTCATGGTCAGGAAACCTGGAGCAGGCCTTTGTGCTCTGGGTTTTTAATCCCTCAGGGACCTCTTTCTTCTCTCCCGTCGGATCCTCGCGCAGAGGAAAGAGCTTGCCACAGCCATGACCAAAGACGACTCAGCAGAGCTCCCTTCTGAGGAAGACCACCAGCCCCTGGAATTCCAGAGCCCAACAGTGGAGAGGAGGAAGAAACCCATCGTCCACCCTTCTGCCCCAGCCCCGCTCCCCAAAGATTATGGTGAGACGTTCCTTTCAATCCTGCTCTTTTCCAGCCTCACCCCTCCCTCCCTCCCTGCGAAGCATGGACAGAGTTCCTCCCTGTCCAGTTGACCTGCCTTCTGGGAGGGCAGGGGGCTGAGATGCTCTGTGGAGTATGGTTGCACATTGAATCGGTGTGACCGAAGCAGCCATATGCAAATTCGTAGATAGCTTCAGGGCTTGGGGCTGTGTGCCTTTCCGCTTAGAAGCAGCAACCCAACAAGCAGCACTGTTGGTGCCAAAGCCTAGCGGTAGATGCCTGCTTTCCAAGCGGCACACGCTCCAGGAAGAAGGGCCAGGGACGGAGGCTAAGGCCGTCTCTGCCCGAGACCTGAAGACCGGCTGCCCGCAGACATGGACAGGACAGCGCCAGAGGGACAGTAGGCTGACCTGGACTACGGCAGGTTCGCAGCTCAGGGCCAAAGAAGGTTCAATTACGCAGCTTGCAGAAATCGAACAGATTTGCAAATCCTTCATTCAAGTCAGTTCCCAACATAGCACCTGCCTTCACAATAGGGTAACTGGGTTAATTTTACCTATGGCCAGTTTCTTGTGGCTTAACTTGTAATGTAGAACCTAGCCTATTTGCTTAGTTTATGGTTCACTCTGCTTTGGGAACATAAAGAATGGGCTGATTTGGTAAACCAGGCTAAAATTGTTGTGTGAAATTGTAATGTTGCCAATAAGAATCCCACCGCCTCTGGGGGTTGGCCGGGGTTCCCAGTCCCCAAATTGCTCCTGTTGGGGCATGTTTCCTTCTTAATTCTCTTGATTGCACGCTGAGATTGAGGGAAGAGAAAAGTTTCTGGGTCAATCCTGCCTTTGGTTTTTTTATGGTGCAGCTGAGACAAGGAGGACTTTGTGTGCACCACAGAACATAAGGGGGACAGCCAGAGAAGGGGCGTGGGAGGGACATTTGCCCTCCCTGCAGTGCAAAGTGGGGTTCACATTAAGAGGAAAATGTTTTAAGTAAGGAAAGCAATAATTGCAATAAGTAATAAAGATGAATTGATATTATCCCGATATAAATTATGCAGGCAATATTATTTTAATATTTAATTTTAATATAACTTGTTCAAATAATAATGATGACAATGTTATTCCAAAATAAATTATTTAAATAATTAATAATGATGAATTCATATCACTTCAGTAGAAATGATTCAAGTATTTATTTGGGTTATGTAAAATATTCTTCCAAAGAATACTTTTTAAAGAAAACGGTCAAGTTATGCCTCTCTTTCAAAATAGTTTTTGTTTTCATGTGTTGTCATTTTTTAGTTAGGCAGGCTGCACAGTGGTGTGGCCAGTCTTCTCTGGATCTGAGAGGACCTGATGAGAGGAATCTGGGCCTGGTGACACACATCGCCCTAAGCCAGAGTTTGTTTTAGCCCTAAACAAATAAATGATTCAATAAGCTCCAGATGATTTGCAAAGTATCCTAAATCATACATCATGTGTAGGAAGCAATGGCTGGATCCATGTGGTGCTTGGTCTGCATTTGGGTCAGCTACCTTCTCATGAAATATTAAACCATGTTTTGCTGAATTAAGTGCAGTTAATTAGCTTCAGGCAGCATGCTAAACAAGGATTTGCCACCACAATGGCTGAATTCCCTCTCTGTGGTCCACTGAAACTCCCCCCTCCCATGCCCAAGCACCATGTTTGGACCCAGAACAATACGAGCTGCCCATGAAGAGAGCGAATGCCATCCAACCTAAATTTAATAAGTAAATAAGCCTGCCAGTGTTTACTTACCAGCTGCTGAATCAGACCTCCGGTGCTCTGGAACGATCCTGCTTAAAAAGGAAAAAGTAGATCTCACAAGCTTAAAATCTGCCTGCTCATCCTCTAACAAGAAACCTGTCTCCAGCTTGGAGAAGTATGTGGATTAAATTGAATTGGTCAATCCATGAAAGGGCAGGTGATTCACTCCAGATTATTCATTCAGTGGACACAGCCAGGCTGAAGCTGGAGCAAATGCTTGGGCTGCCCTGCAAGAGAACTGATGGGGACAGGGTACTTAACCAGGCAGATGAAAGGGTCCAGCCAGCAGCCGAAGGAAGGAAGGAAGGAAGACCCAGCTGTTGCCGTAGTCTTGCAACAAGGGCCATTTCAAGGAATCTGCATTTCCTGAGAATTTGGACTCAAAGCAGGAGATGGTTGTTGCTCTTTGAAAGAGGACTGTGCTGGTGACTCAGGGGTACAGACAGAGGCTTTGAGTCATGGACTGGAGTAAGAGCCAACACCTCCTCTTCCCTCTTCCCTTCCAAACCTCTTCTCCCATAACTGACAGGGCTTAAGAAAGCAATATCCAAAGAGGACTGGGTGGACATTTGCATTTGTTAAGCTAAGATCAGCTTTTCTTCGCAGCTGGAGTGATGGCATTATATTGCAACTAAAGTTATCTGAAAGATACCTCAGAAGTAGCTTCCTTGTTCTCTTCTGCTATTGATTAGAAAGCAATAAAATATATTTTTCAAAACCCCTCTGAATAGAATAGAATAGAAATCTTTATTGTCATTGTACAACTAGTACAATGAAATTAATGCCACCCCAGTGCAGCTTTAAAAATATAAAAACCATAAAACACATAAATATTCAGAGGGGTTTTGAAAAATATATTTTATTGCTTTCTAATCAATAGCAGAAGAGAACAAGGAAGCTACTTCTTATTCAGAGGGGTTTTGAAAAATATATTTTATTGCTTTCTAATCAATAGCAGAAGAGAACAAGGAAGCTACTTCTTATTCAGAGGGGTTTTGAAAAATATATTTTATTGCTTTCTAATCAATAGCAGAAGAGAACAAGGAAGCTACTTCTTATTCAGAGGGGTTTTGAAAAATATATTTTATTGCTTTCTAATCAATAGCAGAAGAGAACAAGGAAGCTACTTCTTATTCAGAGGGGTTTTGAAAAATATATTTTATTGCTTTCTAATCAATAGCAGAAGAGAACAAGGAAGCTACTTCTAACTATAAAGTTCTTCCAAAGAGGGGAGAGGGCAACCAATGATCCTCTGGGCAGTGGTGGTAATATTTTGGTATTTTGGTACAAGAAGAACTCAAGGGAAGTATAAAGAAGCAGACTGTGGATTCGTGGATTCTCCAGAGGTTTAGTAGGAAATAATGCAATCATTTTGAAAAAAATTTAATGTGTCTTGGAGGGGGCACAGGATAGTGAAAGCTTGCCCAAGTTAGCGCCCTCCAGTATTGGCATTTCTTAAATTCCAAGCTGAGACCACCAACAGCCATATTGGCTGGGAATTCTGGGGGGTATAGTCCCAAGACAATTGGAGAGCGCCAAGTGAAAGACGACCATTCCCAGTTAAACAAAGGGCTCAGCACCTCTATTCTACAAGGGCCTTTTGAAATATATTTTATATAATTGAAATTGTGTATAGGTACATGTTGCCTACCTCCCACAACTGGGGGAGGGGTGGGGAGAGAAGGGTGTTTACAATTACATGGATGGATGGATGGATGGATGGATATAAGAATATATGGGTTGGGGTTCTGGATCTAACCAATGGCCTACCAGGGCATTTCAGTGCACCTGCTTTGAAACCAACTGTTGCATCACATCCTTTCCCCTCTCCCCTCCTCTTCTCTGCAGCTTTCACTTTTTTCGACCCCAATGACCCGGCTTGCCAAGAAATCCTGTATGATCCCATCACCACAGTCCCGGAGTTGTTTGCGATCATCCGCCAATGGGTTCCCCAGGTGCAGCACAAGATAGACATGATTGGCAACGAGGTGAGGGGGCAACAGGCAGATTTTAAGATGATGGCCAACGGCGTTGCGTGCTGTGCTCAGTCCCAGGGAGAGGAGGGGAGGTGGCCCAGGAGTAGGTGTGTGTTGTTGTACAAATTGAAGGATTGAGGTGGGGAAGAAGAAAGCATCTGGAGCAGTGTTGCTCAACCTTGGCCACCTGAAGATGGGTGGACTTCCCCATGCTGGCTGGGGAATTCTGGGAGTTGAAGTCCACCCATCTTCAAGTGGCCAAGGTTGAGCAACACTCATCTGGAGGCTGAGGACTCCCAGGTACCGTAGCAAAGAATAGCACTTGCGATGCACAAATATCTTGGCTGTATAAGCCTAACGGTGTGTGTACAAGGAAGAAGACAAGCATCTCTGAGAAGGTCTGAAAGGTGCTACCTAACTAGCCGGGACAGGTAAGGAAGTTGAGGTCTTTCAAAATGCCTCTTTGCATCCCCCCGGAACCTGGCAGAGAGTTGGGCTGGATGATCTCCAAAGCCTTTTCTGGCTCCCATCTTCTCTAAACCTTAGGCTGTGGTTCAACCCTGGGCTAAGCCGTGGTTGGCTTTGTCATGGGCAGAGTTGCTGGGAGTCGGGCGGCATATAAATGTAATAAATTATTATTGTGGTTATGGTTTGTTGAATAAGCCACAGTGGGGGCTGAGTTCACACAACATACTGAACCCTGTGCCATTCATTCATCAGCCGCAAGGTCTGAGTTGGCATGACACCAACCCAAACCTTCTATGGCTGAGTGCCATGTGTGAATCCTGCCTTAATCTTGCCTACCCACCAGATTGGCCCAATGGCAGGGCCAAGAGGCTGGAAAATGACCCGGGTGTGCCCTTGATTGGCCTCCTTCTGTCCTCTCCAGATCTTGAAGCGGGGTTGCCACGTCGATGACCGGGATGGGCTGACAGATATGACTCTCTTGCATTACGCTTGTAAAGCTGGCGCACACGGTGTCGGTAAGCCTCCGCCTCTCCGGCTTTGGGCCCTTGGGTTGCTCTTGGGGTTCGATGAGTTTCATGTCATCGGCAAGATCTACGGGGCCCTACAGGGATGGCAGAATGGCGGGGTGTGCCAGTGGGTCTGCAGTGGCAATGAGGAGGTCTGCAGCGATTGGCTGAGCTGCCTCTGATGTCACAGAAGGTCTTTGCCTGAAGAGTCTCAGAGGCACAAGGTGGAAAGAAGAACAAGGAGATGGAACATGGGAGGAGGCACCCCTTCTATGCAGTTCTTCCCCCCAAATGCTCATATCGGTACCCGATGAAGACTTTATTTATTTATTTTCAGATTCTTAACCTTCACCAGTTTACTGCTGCTATATCTTCAATTGGCTGCTTTATCCTTTTAATTATGCTTTTATTGATTTCATACTTTTAATGAT